GTCTGTGGGGTGGTGGGGGTGGCTCCTGCTGCTGCGTGCACCCTGGGAGGGCATGGGGGGGGGTGTGCCCCGGAACTCCGTGGGGGGCAAGGAGGGGACTGCAGCTGGAGTTGGGGCTGTGCCAGGCTCTTCCTGGCATATGGGGGCTGCTCTGGGTGGGTGGCAGTGGCATTGGGTGGAGGGTTTTGGGGCAGCTACGGTGAAATTTGGCATGGTTGCAGCCCACCCCTGTAACCCTCCTCCTAGTGCTGCCGCCACCACCTACCCTGAGTGCAACCCCCCACACGCAGGGAACAGCCTAACACAGCCCTGACCCCAGCCTGCAGCTGCAGCCCAGCCTACTTCCCCTCCTGCCCCCCATCCCATGCAGATCCAGGGTACAAGTCCCCCCACCCCCTGTGCCCTCCTAGGGTGCATGCAGCAGCAGGAGCCCCACTCCATGCCCCCCAGATGAGCTGCAGATCCATCCTGTGCTCCGCCCTGCCCCGCCCCAGGTGGGCAGCCCCAGCCCTCTCCTCCCTCACCGCAAGGGCTTTGATCTGCCCCCCCACACCACTTCCTTCTCCTTTCCCCATCTACCACAGCAGACTTACCAGCTGCAGGCAGCTCTTCAACCTGCCAGGCTGTGCTCCTAACTGCCTGCATGCTGTGCTGCGGCTGCATGAATGTACAGGCATTTATCGGCCAAATTATTAGCCACATCAGGCTGATTTCTGGTGCAATCAATTTTCTTTATATCAGTGCCAATCTGATATCGGCCTGATGTATCAGTGCACCTTTATGGCAAAGCTGTCTGCTGGGCTGCATGCTGCATGACCCCCTCCCTGTCCAGCATCTGTACTGAAGACTCTTTGCTTCTCTGTCTGAACTTCTGTACAGGTCAGTTTTTCTCTCAGGAAAACAAATCTGGGAGAGCTGTGCTGGATGGTTTGATTGTGTGTACACACCCTGAGTCTGTTTGGTGTCGTCTTTAGGGCTTATCTATGCATGAAGGCTAAGTACAGACATTTGGGATGTTAGGGGGAAGTTAAATCAGTTAAAAATGGCTGCCTGATATCAGGTAAGTCAGGATGGGGGATTAGCGGGGGGAGGGGTGTGCAGCAGGCTGCTGGGGGAGGGGAGGGGAGGGCTTGCACCATGAGGGGAGGAGGAAGGGGCTGGGGGGCAAAAATTAGCCCAGTGTGGGAGAGGGGGAGGAAGGGGGATGAAAAGAGCAGCCCAGGGACTTGGGTTAGTGGCTGGGTTTTCCGAGTCCCAGGGCTGTGCTGGGAAAGGGTACAGAAGTTCTACGCCCTGGTTTGTCCAAAATAAAATACGTTTGATACTACATATATCAAGTTTATCTTAAACCAGGTTCTGCAATTTTAAGACAATTTTGTGTAGATGGAAATTCTGTACAGTTACCGGTTTAGACGGATTGCCAGTCACTGGATTGGGTCAGCACTGGGACGTGCTAGGTTTAAACTGGGCAGCCATTTTGAACCTGATTTAATCTCCCCAAGTGTCTGTATTTAGCCTAAATGGTTTTCAGTACAGCTATATAGGCAGAACTTCCTAATGGTTTTACAGCATATATCATTGAAAGAGTTTTTTGCGGGTGTAGTTTGTACCAGTTCCCTGAATGAAATAAGTATTCTAGGAAAGTAGATTGTGGTGGTGTAACTGCATTCACATTAGGACTCTTGCCAGCATAGATAGATAGGTGTGTTGGTTTAGGGATTTAGGGCTTATTTTTAAGACTGATGTAGCTGTACTGAGAAATATAGGTATGGATCAAGTCTTGATTTTTATTTTTGCCTTCTAAAACAGGGTTTTCACGATCCTTTGTACCAGTGGTTTCCAAACTGTTCTGTGGAATAGATCATCAGGGGTTCTGCAAACAGACCAGCCATAGCAGGCCAGGAGGCAGTGCAGCTCTATTGCTGGGCTGGGTCATCTGGCTCTGCGTCAGCTCACATGGCCCAGGCAGCCGGGGGTAGGGGGTCCATGGTAGAAGAAGTGATGTGAAAGAGTTCTGTGACATTAAGAAATTTGAAAACCACTGCCTTATACAAATCAGCTTATCATGTTACGTGGAAACCCTTTTTGCTGCATCTGTGAAGAAGAAAATATTTATATCCTTTATATGATTGTGAGAAAAGGAAACGTGAGTAGTGGGTGCTTTTTCCCTCCTTTTGTCCCAGCTTTGAGAAATTTATCTCTGTTCACAACAGTGCTACAGCAAGTGCTTAAGTTCCATTGAAGTTATTGAGGTTTAAGCATGCACTTTCCTGCTATTATGGATTGGGACAACAATAAACATTCCTGTGACATTTCTTTCTGGTAGCAAAGTAAACAGATTCTTGTAAACAAATCTTAGCTGTTGTCCAGGTCATTAAGCATCCATCAGCCTTCCTTGAATAGATGAAGCACTTCTGTGTTTCTATATCTCTCCTAAAAGGCTGAAAAGAAACTTGGGTACCTGTTATGGCTCCCAAGTGGTTAATAGTAGTAATTTGCATATATAGCAGAAGGCTTAGGGATATCAGCTTGGTCATGAGCACAAATTACTTATTTAAGGGTGGGGTTCTATTCTAAAGACTTATCTTTTGGAAATGATTATAGGTAATTTTTTCCTATGTGGCAACATACACTAGTTTTAAGAGTTTGAGAGAGTGCACAGAATGAGAAATACGAAAAAAAAATGGTAGCTATTTCTCCATATTCTTTTGAAGTGGGGTAATGCACACAGAAATTTTTTACTGTGTGCACAGAAACATTTAGTTGGGCACAGATGTAATTACTAGACTATAGCACTTTTTCTTTTTTCTTTGTTTTTTCATTTCTACCTTTTGCGTGACTATTCAAGCTTTGTGAAAATGACGTTTTAACAGTGTTGGCTTGTGTTGTTACTGAAAGTTTCTCAGGGACTAATTCCAAACATAATAATCCATTGTGGCTTTAGTTGAAGCTATATAGGTTATTGCTATAGCAACAACTTCCAGGTTAATGTTTATTGCTAAGAGAAATTCCTAAGGCTATTTGTAAATGGTTTATGTCGGGTATGGTACAAACAAAGATGAAGGACAATTAACTTTCAAGAAACTATTGCCCGGAAGATTATGGGCCTGTGCTTACTACTATTGGAGTCAACAAGGGTTTTGTCCCATTAACTTTGCATGTAACAACAATAGGCAATGGGTGCTTAACATAGCTGCACTGAAGTCAGGGAGAGAATTTGTACCTTGGATTAGACTTTATATGTTTGAATACATTTCTGTTTGCAGGAGTCCTTGCATATTTTTAACAGAGTTAGAATGAAGTAAGCATCTAATTAGAAATTTTAGTATAGATCATCAGATGAAGTAGACATGTAGCTTTGTTGATTTCAGGGGAACTATTGTAGTACTATCAGTAATGCCCCCCTTGTACTCCAATCAAGACAATGGACTACCCCCCAACCCCAATGCTGAACTGCAGGAAAAAAACCTTGTCTTGGATTTAAGCAAGTCTGGTAGTATATTGGTGAAACTTTTTAAAAGCTTCTCTGTAACAAAGAATGAAGATTTTATGTTGTGCTTCTATTTTCTTTGAAGGGAAGATATTGCAATGTTTTCTTATTTTGGGATATGCAAATTACTTTTCCTTTTATTTCAAACAGAATGCTTTCAAGAAAGTGAGCATCTTAAGGAAAGCCTTAAATGCTGCCTGCTACATCTCTTTGGAGCTATTGTGGCTGGCGGACAGGTAAGGACAATATTGGAAACTGTTATTAACTAACTTAAACCTGTAGAATTCAATTTCTGTTCCACATATAAGATCTATAGTTTTGGTTTTATAGGGTATTCATCAATATACAAAGACTTATTGCAGAAAAGAAGACTATCCACACTTAAATGTGAATTATTTCTTCACTTGCCTTACAAGGATTGGAGGCTCATTGTGCTAGGTGGTATATTAACACTTCCTTGCTGTTGGAAATTGCTTCATGCTTTATATACATGCAACGGTGTAAGCTTGCATGTGTGTGTTTGTACATAGTGCATATACTTTTAAACTATCATGTGACAAGAAAGGGTACAGGAAATTATTTGAAACTGTTCAGTCCATACAGTTCTAGTCTAATGATGCATTAAATCCCAGTATACAAATAGATGTAGCTTATGTGTATGTACTCAGATTTAGGGGGTAACTGTATCAGTGGGAGGTTCTCATTGATTGGAAACTATAGATTCTCAAAGCACAAGATTGTCAGTAGACTGAGTCAAATTGTACGTGAGTCAGTAAAATACCTCTGCTGGACCAAGAACATGATTTTCTCTGTTGGCACAGTGAGCATAATGTTCTAACCTAGAGGACTACTTGTGTGTGACCACGTGCCAAGAAATTTAGAAGAGAATATAAGAATAGACTGCAAATGCAATAGGCCTCCACTAAATCATCAAGTTTAATATTTCAGAGGAAGGCTTTTGAAGTGTACCTGTGCTTCATTGAGGCTTGTGCTAAGGTAGTGTAAGTGGCATTAAAAGAATAAGTGAGGAAGACTAAGAATTATACAAATCCCTGAATTGTATTTGATTTAGATGCGAACACCCTGTGAGAAATTTTTGGGGTAATCTTTGGAAAAATGCTGTTCTCTAAGCATCAGAGAATTTGCCACGAGTAAGCACCATTGCTGTTTTTTAGTAATTGATTATCTTTTGGAAGTTTTATTTTCTCTGTGCAACTCTGGTCTAGTAAAATCTGACTGCAAATTGTAAGAACATATTATCTTTGTTGGCAGACTAATACCAATTTGAGTTCTATCCAATTTAGTCTGTAAAAGGTTACCAGAAGACATTTGAGAATATCTATATGGCACAGTGCAGTCCTGTGCAAAGGTTCCTAAAGTAGCTCAGAAAGAGTGAACTTGAGTGCTGGAAGCATTATAACCACATTAATATGGTACTCTGTCCTACAAAAATTGTGGGGGGTACAAAAATGATGAAACTATAACTAAAATAAGATTCCATTTAATCTTGAAACTTGTAATAACCCTTTGACTGAAGAATATTAATGTAAAACCAAAGAAAGGGGTAGAGAAATGTAGACGTTGAGATCTGGAGGGAGCATTAATCATCCACATTACATATAGTACAACAATTTCAAAATTGTATAAGAATGCCAGGAGTGTTTATTGCTTATTTGATGTGCAGTTGCACATAATACTATTTATTTATATGTTTATTATATTTATATGTCCCTCTTGCAAACAAAGTTTCAGAGCATCTTACAGTAAGACAAAATAATTTATAAAAATGTAACCTATTAAAATAAAACTAACAAAACAAACTCCCCAAAATACCGTGTGCACACACATCTAAAATGGCATATACAAATAGGTCTGTTTTCAGTTGCTTGGTTTGCCTTGTCACTCGTGCACATACATGTTAGATTTTTTGAAAATTTTGTTCAGCATGTTGACTTGTTTTGTTTTGTTTAGGTGATCTTGTATACATGTATCAATAATCTGAGTGTAAGTCCATTCATTAACAGGTTTTTTTCATTTTATGTACATTATGTACTCATGCTATATAGACGAAAACCCTGTTTTTTCCCATAAATGTTCTTATTGAAGCTAATAGTTCTAATCAAGTGATAAGAGGACCAGGATTTGACCTATAACCTATGGTGATCAACAGAATCAAAGTTGAATATTGAGGTACTCTAACAGTGATCTTATTAGTACCATTTTTAGTAGAGTTCAAAGTACTTAAGTCAGGGAATTCAGAAATCAGAATTGTCATTGTAACTATTTGGAAGGGACTTGATGCTTTTGATTTAAGGTACAATTGTTTTTATCATGTATTTCAGAGAAATGCTCTTCAGGCGATATCTCCTGCCACCATGGAAGTCTTGATGTGTGTTTTGGCAGACTGTGATACCTGGGATGATAGGAACCCTGAGGAAGTGAATAGGAAGGCAGAGCTGACTCTTAAGTGCCTGACAGAAGTAGTGCATATCCTTCTGACCAGCAGTTCAGACCAGCGACAAGTTGAGACCAGTAGCATATTGGAGAACTATTTCAAATTACTTAATTCAGACCATTCAGCTTTGCCTAACCCAAGAAGATCTAGACAGTGGGAGAGCAGATTTATAGCACTACAGATCCAAATGCTCAGTGAGTGATACATCCGTGTAATTCCTCCAAATCTGCTTAGTTAATTTTTTAAAAAAGAAATAAAACAAGTAGAAATATAATTGTTATATGAAACAGAATATTGCCTTATAATTTAAATTGATTCAGACACATTCCATTTTGCTTTTTCAAGAAAAGAAGTGAAAAAAAATTAAGACTTCATTAAAGTTTGGCATGAGGATGTTACAGTAAAAATCTTTTAGGTGCAAGAACCCCAAAATACAAAATAAAGATTAACTGGTCTGCGTGTATGCTAGCCTTTGGTAACAGCTTATGTGCAATAGTATTTTAAAGACTGCGGTTAATTTTTGTCCCATGATACAAGAATAACTGGTGTATCATATACTTTATTAAGGTTTTGAAGTTGTTAGTGTTGTAAAAGGAATCATTAAGACAATAGCTTTAAAACCATTTATTGTAACCTATTTGGTTGGTATTAATTTTTTTAAGTTGTTGAAGCAGAATGTGAAAATGTAAACTAAAACATCTCTAGCCCCAAGCACTTTTAATTTTCTCAGTATTTTGAGAGAAGATTGAGATGATACACGATGCTGGCAAAATAGGACTGCACTGTAATGTTGAGGCATGATTTGCTAATGAGGAAGCAAATATGAGCATATGCGTTAAATACAAAAAACATGCTGCTTTATGCTTGTAAACAACAGTGATTTTAATCCGAACCCAAAGGCAATTGAAGATGTTTGGTTGCTGAAACTTCATTTCTGCTACATTAAAATGTTCTCTAGACTTATTGGTTTATGCACCAATTCACTTACTTTCATCAAAACATTAATAATATTTGACTGTAGTTTGTAATACAATGTATTTTGTGTGCTATGTGTTTTTCTTTTTTATCAAATGGATATTTTAAGGAAAGCAAATTAAAAGATTAATGTACTACTTGTCTGATGTATTTTTTTATTTTTATAGACACCATCACAGCCATGTTAGACTGCACAGACAGGCCTGTTCTACAGGCAATTTTCCTTAACAGTAACTGCTTTGAGCATCTCATCCGCCTCCTGCAGAACTGCAAGGTAAATTTCTATTATTAAGAATATATTCTTTCTTGTAACAAAGTGCTTCTTGTGACAGTGTAGCTACATTAAATACCTTTGTAATTCATTCTAAATTAGACAAAATTCTACGGAGTACACACATGAACAAAATCAAGTCCTGGGTCTGTTTATTACCATTGTCTTGGAGAATGTTTCAAAAGTTTTGAATAATTAGAATTTTATGTAGTAGACATGCTCCATATCTTCTAAATACATTTGAAGCAGAGACTGCTTAATAGATGTGTGCAATTTTAGCTTTCTTTACATTTTTAGTTTGGTATCGGAATTGATCTTTCCTGCTATGAGTATGTCACTGAGAAGTTGCTTATAACGCTTACCAGATGGAGGACTGAATTCTAATTTTAGGGATACATTTTTTGTGTGGTTTTTTTAAAAATTTTTTTTATCCAGTCTGGTGTTCAGTTGCAAATATTTCAAACTACTTGATTGCAATTTCAACATAGCTGAACTATATAAATTAACCTAAGCTGTTACAAAATGCTCCCCTTGGATGCTGTCTTCTTTTAGATGGGACATGAATATTTATGCAGTTCCAGTATTAATCCCAGATGTCAATTAATTGTAAGCCAGTGCCTGCCACTGAAGTTATTATGCTGTCCTAAGATTCATTTTCCTGCAACAAAAATGGGCAAAAATAAACACTATGAACCTTTTAAGAGTTTTGTATTTTTTCGGTTGATGTGTCTGTATTGAATGTTTTTTAAATAGTTTAATGCCAGCCACAATATGTGAATTATTGTCCAACGTTTCCTCTAGTTTATTATTAGGAAGTATTTTAAATACAATGTCCATGTACTAAGTATTGTCTCAGTTAGCTGTGATGTATTTTAATGAAAAGCAAAATCCCAGATGCCTTCAGGAGAACCATACTGGGGTTTTACATAGTATTTGCAGTTTTAACTTCTGGTTGAAAATACTGTTTGGTCTTTCCATATTGTTTCAGCGTCCCTCTAGGAACATACTCATTTCTGTTCCTTTCACTCTTTACTAGGCTTCTGTAAAATAATTATTTAGTTTCTAGCCTGATTCTTAAACTATCAGACTACAGGTGATTAGCTGATTCATGTGGACACTAGCTCACTTCTAGGGTTGAAGTTGTATTGACTTCAGGGAGAACCGGAGTAGCCGGTTTTATTTTTTTGTGCGTGTGTTTCACTATACAAAATTGTCACCAGACAATTGAATCATACCCTGTGGGCATGTCTAAGTGCATTACTTCGCAGTAAATGGAAATAGGCCACCATCTACATGTGCAGGCATTTAAAAAGCATTAACATTGTGTGTGGTCTAGCTTGTGACTATAGTTAGTCCCAAGTTGGTCCACACGCACAGTGTTACTGCGCAGTAAGGTGTCTGCATGTGCATTACCATGCAGTAATTAATCAGGCATAAATTTGATACTTACATCATGCAAGTCGGCGTAAGTCGTCATAGTTACTGCGTGACAGAGGCATGCACATGTAGATGCGTGCCTGTACTGCACAGTAATTTCAGGTTACTGTGCAGTAAATGTGCACATGTAGATGCACCCTGTAATTTTCACTACTTTCATACTGAAGTGGTTCTTACGTATTGACATTTTGTATACAGTACTACTTAGCCTTTTCTAAGACAATGACACTTTTTTTCCCTTCTAAATACAGTACAACTGTCTTCAAAGCCAGACTGCAAAGATTAAGTCAGTTTGAGGCTGGCAGTTTTTGTGCTGAACACCTTTGGCAGCCAGGCAGAACTTGTTAAACATACTTTTTTTTCTCATCTGTGGCAATCTGCCAGACTTCTGTATTCACTTGCATGGCCCTATTATGGATAATAGAATCAGTACACCAGAATGGCATTTGACACACTAGAATAAATTATCTCTTGTAAGTCTGGACAGTTAGAGGCTTTCATGGAGGAGAGTGAATAGGAGCTGAATCACAATTTACTTCTGTTGGTGTTTTTCCCAGAAGTTGAGTGTTAGGAGGGGCAGTCAGCACATATTACTGATCTTATCTCAAAATTGTCTACAGCTTTTCAAATCCTCTTTATCTGCAATTCACTTAACCTTAACTGAAGCTTTTGTATCTTATGCAGAGCCACTTTCTTTTCATTCTGCTTTGGCTATGCACCCAGACATTAGCTCTGAATTGATCAGCCAGTTTAGGGATTGATCTAATATCTCATTTAATTGAGAATTATGGCTGTCACCTGTAACATTTGGGTAAAAGGAGGTGGTACTTGGATGTTGAGAGGGGTTTATCTATATGCTAACGACATCTTATGTTACCACTTCACAAATCTAGAACTTTGTTATTAGGTATCCTCCTTAAAAAAGGAATAGGTTTGGGGAAGGGCAGTGATCATTATGCCTTCTTGTATGGTTGCTGAAGAAAACATTTTTAAGCTAATATTCTTCAGGGTGAAAGAATTAAGGGCAGAGGGAGCACTGTTTATGAGCATTTTAATACATATATAGTTTCTAAATTTGATTTTTTTTCCCCTTTCTACAGAACTATTATGGACAGTCACACAATAACAAATTGCAATCATTTTCTTTTGTCACACCTGTCCTTATTTTCTGCTCATGGTTTTATCTCCAATTGCTAATGCTATAACTTCCTAAACATATTATAGTTATTCTTCAGTGTCACCAGGGATTTAACTGATTTAATCTTGACAAATGCCTTTCAAAGTGATCTGTGTTTTTGAAATGTGTTCTGACACATCTGTCATACAAAGTAGCATATTTGAGTGTGTTCAGTGTTTGCCCTTGAATACAGAGTGAGATTCTTTACTATGAGCATACTTTCCAGTGGGTGTGTCTATACGTGCAGTTAATTTGAGGCAATAAACTCTGCAACAGTTTGAGCCAGAGTAAACTGCTTCTGGGCACAACATCTACACATCTGTTTAATCACAGTTAATTTCTCCTCTGCAAGATAGTACTGTCCCTGATAGTACTATTTTACAGTGACTCCACGATAAGATAGTACTGTCCCCGATAGTACTATGTTTAAGCAGTGTTATTTAGTTTGCTATAGCTAATACTGTTGTGTGTAGATGGTGATGCTTTACTCTGCAGCCAATTAGTCTACTCCACAGTAAAGCACACATGGCCAGTGAGTACAACAAAAAGTGATTTTTAAAAATAGTTTCTTTCAACTCTGTTTTCTGTTGGGTGTTTTCTCTGCATTAAGTTGGCACTCCTGTGTTTCCAAATGTCCTTTTTAAGTTTATGATTAGGAAACCCATGGATTTCTAAGAGTCTCTTGAACATCAAATCTGAAAAAGCAGAAGAGAGCAAAGCTTTTGTTTGTTTTGACTCCACTGCAGTCATTTGAAGAGCAGAAATTGCCACACTGAAAAAATGACTGCAACAAGCAAGGGTTAGCACTCTACAGCCTGCAGAAGCTTTAGATCCAGTCTTCAGACCTGGGTTTTTGATGGCATTTGGTGGAGCGGTGAGGCCGTCTCTTCATGGTGCCACAGGGACAAACACCAGCTGTGGGAGCTTTCCCTGTGCTGCTGTGGGAAAAGTGCTGGCTGTGGGCAATTTCCCTATGCCTCTGGAGAGAGGAGTGGTGGCAATGGCAGAAGGGTCTTGGTGCCTCTGCCCACTGCTGACCCAGGGTGGATCATTCTGGCCTGCAGCTGGAAAAGGTTGCCTACCCCTGGCATAGAGATACCTGTGTCATCTCGGGCATCAGTGACTGTCTAGCCATGGTAATGTTGACCTCAGAGCTGCTGTGACTGTAATGAAGACAAGCCCTCAGTTTAAGTTCCTGAAAAATTTACCATTCTCCATCCTATCTTGAAGATTATATCCCCAGAAAAACGTCTGCCATTGTTACCTCAAGATTATGAAATCTATAGCAGTTGGTACCTGTGCTCCTTATAGACAGTAAAACTAAATTAAAAAGCTAGGAGGCATCTGTATGCTTCTCTGTGTCTTTCCCATTATTAACGCTATCCAATCTTCTTTCTTTAAAAAAAAAAATGTAGGAGTCTGATAACCTCCTATCCTGCATCTTGCTTTCCATTAATTTAAGAACACTAAGTCAGTAACAAAAACAATTTATAATAGCACTGCTTAATTGTCTCAGCAATGACATCTGTTGATCTGTTTCTGAAAAAAAAAATCTAGTAAATATTTAACAATGGTTTGGTGTAACCTTATTAATAGAAGAATTAATAAACGACTAATATACATGTGGCTCACCCGTGTAAGATTTTGCAGGTTGTATATGAAATATAATTTCATGGCAGCCTTCCCAGCTTTGGCTGCTGGCAACTATTTAATGCTCCTCTTTCCATTATTTTTGTCTCTGTTTCTAACAGCTGTTTTTAAATGCTAACAATAAAGTGGCAGACAAGAGTGAAAAAGACCTTGCCAACAAATTACTGACAGAAATGAATGAGGACCAGGTACCTACACAACTCGCATTTTGCTTCAGTTGAAGTTCAGACACAGTCCAGTCAGTGATAAAAATGATTCCTGTACTTCACCTTAACCATCCTCCTTACACTGCTGCAGCAGGATGAAATTATGCTGCTGCACAGATGAGTATTTGTTATCACTAACAACTAATCTTTTAACTGTACAGATAGGCTTCAAATTGCAGACTTCAAAAACACATTTATTCCCTGATGTGCAGCTTTTAATCTGAGGAAGGTGAAGTACATGAATAAAATTGAAATATCAACACTATCAACCTGGTGGTGATTTCACTTTTTTCTTGTATGCTTTTTTTCTTAGCACTGTGGTGTATTGGGTTCTGGGGCTTTGTTTGTGAATCTCTATGGTTGTATTTAATGTTCTGATTCTGATTCTGTGCTTGTTTTGTCAAGAACAGATGTTCACAGTACAATGGACAGGCTGAATCTGGGAGGTGGGAAGAGCCTGTTTTGAGTTTCCATTAGCATAATGGAAAACATCAAATGCAGATTCTTATTGTATCGCTTCTTATATCAGCATAAAAGGTTTTACTGAATCAGAGATGCTGCAATGCTAAATGCAAGGAAGGACTGCAGTCTAGAAAATCTAATTCTGATAAATAGCCAGGGCTTTTTTAGAAACTCAGTGTGAGGGTAAACATATAAACATTTATTCACCTAATGTTGTCTTCTCATTTTGACTTCTCATTGTCCAGACATGTCTGATATATGATACTATTTCAGTGGCTGTCATGGAGTCTGTTCATTGGCGCCATTTTGCCAGTCAGGTATATAAATTGACCTACTGGTAGAGTGGTACAATATTTTCTGTTCATAAAGCAAGATGCAAAAAATCTCAAGATTCAGAAATATTCACAGAAAAAAAAGGGAACGAATTTGTAGCTCAGTTGGTCTGGAAGAAGTGTATTGACCACCGGGTGATATGATAGTTGATGAAATCAGTAGACTGTACTAGTATAACTTATCACTTCTGTGTGTTGCTCTGATGTGCAGGAATCTGCACTAAAAAGAAAATCTGTCAACCCCAAGCTGGTTAAAGGACTGATTGCAGAACTTGAGTGTTCTGCAATGCACATATGCTAAAAGAATTTATTTAATTTCTTTTCCTCCCTCCCTTTTGAGGTTGTCCATTACAGCATGAGGAAAGCTTGTAAGTTTGTCTGTTAGACTGTTGATCTGTAATGTGTGTGAATGCTTCTCCTCTCCTGAAGTATGTCGCTAGTTGTCTATCATAATGTATCCTCTCTTGTAGGTTGGGCTGTAATGAAATCCATGTTGATGGGATGATGATTTTGAAGCATGTTTAATTAATTTAACTCTTGTTTTTGATCCTGACTGAGGTGCACAGGGTATCCAGCAAAGCAGAATTATAGTTAATATTTGTTTTTAATATTTGTTTCTTGTGCTGTCAGGTGTTTCAGGGGCAGCTAGACTGCTTGGCAGTTTCTACCATTCAAGCCCTTACGTCAGTGATGCACAAATCTCCAGCTGCTAAGGTATGTATACACATACACTGATCTGTTTATGATAGCTCTCGTCTCATTTCTTGTTCCATTTTTTAAATATAAAATGTTAAAGAAATGTTGTTTTATTATCAGCATCCCTGGACACCTATATTGTCTTATTTATAGGATTTGGTAGAGGAAGAATAAGTGGTCAGGGCATGCTTTGTGGTGGCAGTCCTGGGTGCTATATGGATGCATTGTAGACAAGTATTTAGATCCTACAACATTTTTTGTGGAAAATTTTCAGCATACTATATTCCCCCTCTTACACATGCACTCTGTTCTATATGCACATCACCTAAAATCCTGCATCTGCTAAAATATTTATGCATTTAATTTTTTGAGCATTAGTACATAAAGCAATCAAAGCAATACAGAAATAGTGTATTCATTTAGCAGGATTTATTTGCTGTTCATTGACTGATAGAGATTTGTACCTGTTTAGGTTTCATAGTTCTTGAGAGGAGTTTTTCAGTGTAAAAGTAACCAATTTTAAGAATATTTTTAAAATATTTTTCCATTTACACACATTTCTCAAATGTTGTTCTTTCAGAAAAATATTTCATTCAGATTTGTCACTGAATACTTCATGTGCTGAACCTGTACTTGTTTTGGTTTTTTCAGCTTACGTGCTAGTTCACCTTGAAGAAAATTGTTTTGTAATAAATTTGAAAGGATATGGAAATATATGAAAATGGTTATGTTGTTACATTTTTGTATTGTAATGATTAACAGTTATATTAAAATTGGAGTTTTTTATGGTGTAGTGGTAAGTGAAATGTAGCCTTGCTTTTTAGGATATACTTCTGTTGTAATTTGCCTGCTAGAATGAAAACTTTCATTAAGTTATGGCTTCTTGAAGCCACTTTATAGAAAAAACAAATTATATTGATTTCTCTAGGCGTTGCATCAAGATCTGAGGTATTTTTATAAAGGGTATCCTAACACCTGAATTATTTTGGCTCTAGTATTTTGTTAGATTAAATCTCATTAAGGCAGACAAGCCATTTGAGCCTTCTTTTCTAATGAAACTCTTTTTTAATCTTCAGGAGGTCTTTAAAGAGCGTATTGGTTATGCACATATATATGAGGTACTCAAATCTCTGGGTCAGCCCTCACGGGAGTTGCTGAAAGAACTTATGAATATGGTAAGATGGGCTTATTTTGAACGTTAACCCGAAGGGTTACGTCTCTTGGATAGTTTTTTGTAGCATTATTTTATTTCAGTAGAACAGTAGCTCACCTTTTGAGTTCTCTGCTCTTTCCTAGGCTGTTGAAGGTGATCATATGTCTGTTGGACTGTTGGGCATTAGTAATGTCCAGCCCTTATTGCTGCTAATCCAGTGGCTTCCAGAACTAGAGTCACATGACCTACAGATCTTCATCTCAAATTGGTTGAGGCGAATTTGCTGTATTAACAGGCAGAGCCGTGCAACGTGTGTCAATGCAAACATGGTCACCTGCATCATTGAGACGTTAAACTTTCACTCTGCCCTCCACTGCACTTGTGCTGAGAACATGATTGCCCTTCTAGGTTCTTTGGGGAGTCAGTCAATGAGCTCTGAAGAACTGCTTCAACTAATACGACTGCTGAGAACTGATGAACCAAAAGAGCCTCACCCTTATGTCATCCCTGTGATGCGTGCAGTTCTGGCAATGGCTCGGAAGCAGGGCCTGGACAGTGCCTTGCAATATTTTGACTTATCCCATAGCATGGCAGGAATTGCTGTGCCACCTATTCATAAATGGCCAGGCTCTGCCTTTTCTTTCAATGTTTGGCTATGTCTCGATCAGGACCAAGCAACTCCTGGCCTTGGCAGCAAGGGTGGCAAGAGGAAGCAACTGTACAGGTATACTTGCAATGATTACTTTGTGTGGTAGAACAGTTGTGGGTAATCTACTCCCTGTTACATACTTGGTACTAATGTTCACATTTGTATAGCATTTTTCATGCCAAAATACTCTTTGTTTGAGTTTGTAAATGGCAGTTGTTATGTTGTCCCAGGGCCTTCAGAATAAATTATTCCAGCCCCAAGTATGGGAAGGTGTTGCCAGACTGGCAGGCACAGATTGTCTTGAAAACACAAAGTAAAACTCATCATGTATTATCATGAGCTGATTTAACAGAAAGTAACTTAAGATTTACACATGCCGATTCACCACATTTGTATATCTCACAGTGATTGCTTTATCCATCCACTCTCAGAGTTTAGTTTGCTACAGGAATACTAATGCAGACTTACAGGACAGAAACACCCAATTCTATAACTGTGTATTCAGGTTAAATCAGAAGGCTAAAATACTGCCTCCCACAAGGATTGCAGGATGCTTTTTCCTATCTGTGAAAATAGGGGGGAAATGGACCACTTATTGGGCATGTAAACATGTATTAACATGTTTCCATAGGGTCTAACAGGTCATAAAATGCAGCTAGTTCTAGTGAAAACTGCAGCTGGAATTGCAGAGGATAATGTTTAAATTTGTACTTGGCCAGGACACCAGAGTTAACCCTCTTCTTTTGTGAATTTTATCAGGAAATAATACCTTCCTTTTTAATGACCAGAAAGTTCAGGCTTTGATTTTATTTTTGAAAATCTAAAATGCTCATTTTCCAGTAGCACAGCATCATATAACATGTTGGGTTATGAGCACAGCACTACTTGGTGAAGAGTGCCATCTGCTGAACTCCCAGCACCATTTCTTGTATATTTAAATGCAGACCCCTTCAGTTTTTGAAATCTGATGGGATTACAACATAAGATTGAAGAGATGCATTTGGATTTGGGTTTAATAATGCTAGAGTAGTAGTATTGGTCATTAAACTGAATTCACAATGAGTTGTGTCTTCTAATGAGTTGATGGAGTTAGTGTATTGTATGTGATACCATATGTCTGCTCACTGGTTAAGGATTGTTGTTGTTGTTATTTTAAGCTTACAACTGAGTTAAAGCATGAAAAGACTGACCTTACTGCTATCTTCGTGCTTTGTGGTCTCTGTGCATGTTGTAGCTTTCATTTCGTAGGAGGATTATGCATTGGTAGAATGCAATATGATCATAGACAAAATGTCTCTGCTCCATAATAATACTTACATTACCTCAGCTGCAAGTCTGACAGTATTTCTTAGTATGTCTTGAAGACTGCATTAGAGTTTTAACATAAGAAAAGCCAACAAGCCTTCCTATTATAGATAAAGCTTATATTGGTATAAAAGTACATTGCTGATATAGCTTATGCTTATGTAGGTTTGGCAAGCGAAATAAACTGTACTCACAAAAGTACTTGTTTGCCAGTTTAGGGCAAGCCCTAGGGCTTTTGTCTGTATCAAAATTTTGCATCAAAAAACCCATCCAAAGCCCAAACTCTACATCAGTAGTTCTCACCCTTTTTACAGTCAGAGCCTCCCTCCAAAACCTTTTTTGAATTTGACAGCATCCCCAGTTGAGAACCACTGTTGTACTGCCTCTGCTTACCACAGTGGTTCTCAAGCAGGCTGATGTCATATACGCCTGCCTATATATTAGGGTTATCTGATAAACCTTAAGCTGGCAGGCGTAGAGGCATAACAAATTAGTTGTGTGCCTAAGCAAAACTCTGCTGTACCCTGTGGGGCTGCTGGGTGGGTGGGGAAGGAGGGTAGTCTTATCTTAATAGCCCTGGATGTCCCTGCACTTGACCCCTCCAGCCTGGCCTGGCTCCTCTAGCCAAACCGTGCTGTAGCTGGAGCACATGCTCTTCCTCATGTCCACCATCATATAAAAGAGGGGGATGGTTACCAGCTTTTTTGAGAAATTTTGTGGAATGCTTTTGGCTTGTTTAGTATTCCTTGTACCTATGCTATTGACTTCTCTTTGTTAGTTTTAATGAAATGGCCCGTTGAAAGTCCTTTTGTTAAATAGTCCATTAGTGGTGATAGAATGGTTTCAGCTGTGCCTATTTTTGCAAGTTTTATTCTGAATTATTGCGCAGCTAGATTGTTTTCCAAACTTTATTGCACTGTATTCCATTTTTTTTCCCTTCATTCTGTAGCTTTTTTACAGGAAGTGGAATGGGGTTTGAAGCCTTTATTACCTACTCTGGAGTGCTGGTGGTTGCTGTTTGCACAAAGCGAGAGTATGCAACAGTGATGCTACCAGACCATTGTTTTTGTGACTCTCTCTGGGTAAGACCTGCTTCTTAAGCCCACTTGGTTTAGGACAGAATAACAAGTAGTTTTAATCTTTATATTGCATAAGGACAAATTCCAGTTCTAAGAATAGGGCACAGTCCATGTAAGTAGTCTGTACTTATTTAGCTCTTAGAGATGTGTTTATTTGTATATTTATGCCAAAAAATTTTTCTAGTTTGTGTTAGACTGTTTAGAGCCTCTGTGTGTACATCTGTGTGTCTGTCCTTTTTAACGTTAAATCTCACGGAATATTAATGTCAGGGAGGATACTTGGATGAGTTAATTAGATAGGGTCTGTAATGTTTACTATGTGTATTATCTATGATATGATCATGCTAATGCTCTAGATATTTAAGTTCTCCAAGAACAATTCTTACATGTGACACAAGTGTGCCTTTGACTTCCTTTTTTAAAGAAGGATATACACAAATGAGCGGATCTTTGGGATGGGTTTTGGAAGCTGGGATATATTTTAGGCTCTTGTTATGTTTATACACTATAATTGAGTTCCAAGTCAAAGACTTTGAAAATACAAATGTGTTACTATGTTGCCATTCTTCTTCCTTCCTATATATGAGGATTCTCTTATATTATTATGAAAAGAGTCAGCTCTCTTTTTATGTACATTTAAGGAAATCCTTGACTGAAATAAAATCTTCCTAATTCTGACAGAAAGAACCTTTAAAATGTTGCCCAACTAAACAAAATATTGGCAAATTATCAGGAGACTAGAGAAAGCCTTAGCAAGTTTTTTTGGGGGTGGGGGAATCTTTTATTTTTTTTAATACATGCATTTTTGTATTACTTTTTTTTTAAAAGAAGTATTTGATTGGTATTTAGTCTCATCTTCGAATTATGCTATAAAAGTTTATTTGCTGCTATGATTTTTGTCATTCATTTCATAGTGAGACAGTTGAGTAGTTATAGAATTATTTGACTGCTTTTTAATAATGTCCTAATTAATTCTTGTTGTTATATTGCTAAACTAGCACAATATAACTATTGTTCATGTGCCTGGAAAAAGGCCCTTTGGTCAAAGCCTTGTCTACATTTATGTCAATGGACAGCAGAAGGTATCTGCCCCACTCAGATTTCCTGCAATGAATGAAGTAAGTCAGTCCTTCTCATCATATCTATCCATTTTCTAAAATTATCTCCTATAAAAATATTAAATAAAACTGAGAACTAAAACGAAAATGGCTTGCTGGTGATTTAAAAAACCATGGTAGAAACCAATTAGCAGCTATTGCAGTTTAAAAATATTTAGGTTAGTGTAGCTCATCCCCAGGATGTCTCTTGTTTAGCAGTGGATCATCTCAAATACAGCTTAAAAAATAAATAAATGTTGACCAAGAATTCTTTACTGATCCCTATTCAGCAGCCTATGTAAAAGGAGTTTATTCCAGGTTATGTGTTTTTTTTCCTACTGCAATCAACTGAGCATTATCACAGTTAGCATCAATGGTGTCTCTTTTTGGCAGTTTTGCAGCAGAAGATGTTCTGATGGTGCACAACAGAAAAATAGTTCCCACAGTTAGAGGTCGTTCTCTTTAGTACTTTAGCACTCAAAGTGAGAGTAATGTTGTATAGGCTGTTATCTGTGCTGTCCTTGGTTAGTGGATATATTTACAGGAGACAACAGTTTATGGTGGTGTTAATCTGATCATTTCTACAGGCATGAATCAAATTCACTTGAAAAAGCACCAGTCAACAAAATGTCAACATGATTTATAAAAACAAATGATACAGAAAAATAAAATATGTGGATGTTCTGTCAATGTAGTCTCTCCTCTTTGTGGAACAAGTCAGTGTTAAACCTGGATTACAATATTATGAAGTTAAATCACTACTCTCTTTTAAAATTTAAAGGAAAGAAGTTAGACAAGTTGGAAGGCCATTTTGTGCCTGAAGGTTATCCAACATCTATCCCAACTCTGTAGTTAATCCCATAAATTATATTACCAAACAAATCATGTTGCTTATATTTTGCCTGGACCATCATGGCTACAGTGGCACTACAATTTTTCAGTCAGACAGGTCTGCCTTCAATATTTCTTGGATTTAGTTAAACTTAATTCCATTTTTATATAATTGATTTTTGTGGAAGTCTTGGGGATAGTTGATATTTTTCTGCAGCATTATTTACTATTATTTTTTCCTTACACTTGCATTTCCAGCCATTTACTTCTTGTTGCATTGGTTCAGCTGGTCAGAGGACAACTACTCCACCTCCATCTCAAATACCAGACCCACCTTTCTCCTCTCCTGTTCTGCCTCATCGAACATCACTAGGTGGGATTCTTTCCCCAGCAAGCTGGGGTGGGCTACTTACAAAACCAGAGCTGATCACCAAGATGATCTCAGCAGGAACCCAGGATAGTGAATGGGGATGTCCAACATCACTGGAGGGCCAGCTTGGGTCAGTTATCATCTTCCATGAAGCACTCCAACCCTCTCAGGTGAAAGCATTATATTTAGCAGGTAAGTGGTCACTGTGTTGATAGCATTACTGAGCTCCAGTTATGGGTCGGGACTCCGTTGTACTATACGCTGTTCAAATGTATAAAAAAAAGATGGGACTGATTTAAAGAATATATCATATTGGTAAGAGTGTGCAGGTATAACAGTTCTGTGAAGATAGATATAATTAATTATTGGCTCAGTTTCTAAATCCCTCCGATTTTTAGCTGTAAGTTAAATGTATATAATGTATATAAACTCCAACTATGAGTCTTTTCAAATTACTTCCCAACATATTAGCTTGTAAGTGAAACTGTTCAATTTTCTTGCCCTCTTTAAGTCAGTTAAAGATAGTTATTCATCTTTGAAGATTCCTCTTTAGGAACTATATTAGCAATTAAAGGAGAATTTTTTTCTCCATAACTTTTTGATAATGTATTTCAAGCATATCTTAAAAACTGAGGAGGGGTGAGGGACTTTGCCTACATGACCATTAGGGGTGTGCAAAATAGGCCCTGTTTGATTTTGGATTCCGATTCGGCCTGAATCAGCAACAGTGATTCGATTAATTGATTTGGATCAGTCCCAGATTCGATTTGGCTGAATCCGAATCTGAAGATTCGATGCAGATTCAGAGAATTAGCATTTGAACATAAACACAGCTTTAAATGTTTTTTTCTACATACCTCGAGGTACCAGCGCAGCTTGTGATTGATGCTATGCTGGGGCGGATGGAGCATCCCACAGGAGTGTGAGGGGGCTCTCCACATGCTTGGCAGTGAACCCGGGTCTGCCAGGGAGTGTGCAGGGGGGCCCCCCTGTGCCCCCTGGGCTCAGGGGGATCCCGGGTGTCCTCTGAGACTCAGGAGGCACCAGTCGCTGAGCCAGGGAGGTTTGGGGAGGGTCCCCAGTGTGCTCCCTGAGGGACCCAGAAGTGGAAAGAAAGTGCTTCTGATCTACTTCTGGGTCTCTGCCGAGCACGCTGGGGAACCCCCTGCGCTTCTGTGGGATGCTTCTTGTGTCCCAGAATTGCACTGTTCACGAGCTGCCTGCTACCTAGAGGTATGTAGAAAAAACATTTAAAGCTGTGTCTATATCCAAATTGTCAAATTATTCTGAATCTCTCAGAATCGATTTGCAGGGTTCTGATTCAATTTCGACAGATTAAAGGGTCCTCTGATTCAATTCCAATTTGGAGATTTGGCCACCAAATTGGGCCAGATCTCTGCTGAATTGAATTGGGGACCAAAGCTTTGCACAGCCCTACCAGATATATGGTTCAAGGTGTCCTGGAGCTTTAGCAGTGTGTAATGTATATATTTTATATCACTAATATTAAGATCTAGTGTGTTCTTTAAAAATATTTTACAGGTCCAAACTGCTTGACTCCATGGAAACCCCAAGAATCTGAAGTAGCAGATCTGCTCAGTAAAGTGCTCCTTCACTATATACCCAAGGTAGAAATGAACACATGATTTATTTTTAAGGACACATTCTAGACAGTAATTCCAAAAGTGGACATACCTTAAGAACATATGAAGTACCTTGCTGGATGCACTGGTCTATCTATCCAAGAATACTTTCTCTGACGGTGGCAGAAGTGGATGTATTAGAGGAAGAGCGTTAAACCAAGTATACTATCTAAAGCAGGGCTATCCAACTTCTGGGCATCTGGGGCTCCCCTCCCCCCTGCTGGTCCCATTTGCCAGGCAGGCTCTCCAGCAGCCCCTTCTCACCATGCTACATGCACAGATTACTCGCCTACTGTGTGGCACATACAGCTAGGGAGGAATGGTGCAGTTGTGTGGCTGAGAGGGAGGATGACTGTGCATGTGGCATGTACATCTGGAAGAGAAAGGGAGTTGGGCTACACAGCACTACTCCCTGCCTACCCCTCCTGCCCCCAACTACATGCACCAGCCAGCTGCACTGTGGGCAGTCCAGTTTCCTACTTTGCCATGAATATAGCTTGGGCACTCCAGCTTCCCTCCCAGCCACCACAGGAGGAGCAACTGGGGAGAGGGTGGGTGGTAGCCAGGCAGGAGCCCACAGGCTGCATGCCTACCCTTCAGGGACCGTATATGGCCTGAAGGCTACCAGTTGGACAGCCCTGGTCTAGAGTGATCTAGAGTAATTTGTCCCATAGTGCTCTTCCTGGCATTCACCGTCATTAGTTTAGAGATATCAAATAATACATCTCTGACTTATGTTCTTAAAATATAAAAATATATTCTAGGTATCCTATGTCATTGAAGTCTTGCCTTTAGTGTTACTACAATACCATTTTGTTTCTTACTGTATTATGCCATATATTTTATGTAAATATATACAAGTAATTCAGAAACTTTAAATTTTTCAGCAGTTACGTTGAAGCTGTTTTTTTCCCTTCCTCTTAAAGGCCTGCAGAACTCCAATCTGCCTTGACCTGTCCACAAATCTTTTACATGGAAGGTTAACTGGAAACAAAGTAGTGAACTGGGATATCAAGGTAAATGCATAGTAAATCAATGCAATGTGATATAAACGCATACTGGTTACTTGAGGAGTGCTAGAAGTTGCCATTGTATCAGAAAGTTGCTAGACAGGCTTTTTTCCCCAAGAAGAATTAATTATAGAGCTGTAGCAGAGTTGCAGTAAATTTTAGGAAAAGTATGGAGGAATCCTACTAAAAGTCATCATGAATAATGTTTTAAAACAAAATTTAAATATTAAAAATCTGTGGTGAGCAAATGGCTTCTGCAGAATCGGCCCAGTTCATATATTGTGTATTTTGAAAAAAATTCAAGAATGCTAGCATGCTGTATTATTGCCTAATAATATTTTAGTATTCAGCATCAGTCCTTTACATATTTAAGTGACTTATGGACATCAATTAATATAGTCTTCCATGTAGACGAGTTCTTTTTTCATGTTCCTTTAGCTTCATAAAATACCCTAAGGTAGCGGTCAGCAACATTTCAGAGCCATAGGCCCAGCCAACCCAACTCGGGTGCAAGGTGGGTCAATGTTCCTTTTCAGCCACCACCACCACTGCTGCTTCCTGCTGTTGCTTGTTCCCACTGCCTGGCTGTGGTGTGGATGCAGCTTCCCACTGTCCACCTCCAGCGCAGTTCCTCATTGCCAGCCCCAGTGTGGGCAAAACCACCTGCCACCAGACCACCATTGAAGCCGATGAGTCAGATCCAGTTGCTTGTTGGCTGGATGTTGCTAATCCCTGCCCTAAAGATCTAAGTCCTGCAAATCACTGGAAAAAGGAAGGGATCCACTTAGTGTGCAGCAGTTTTAGCTATTATGTTCCTGTTTGTCATCTTGTTCACTAATTTACCCACCAGCCAACTCTGTAGCACAAGCTAATTTCAAAGGTTAGAATCAGACCTGGTGTATGCATGAGTAACTCCATTGATTTCTAGTGACTGAGCTGGAATCTTTTAGTACAAACTAATGAACAATGCCTTAAAGAATTTCTTAGTTTTGCAGGAAATACCGTTTCACAGTATGTTAAGAATGAATACTTGAACAAATAAAATGTGAGCTCTCTATAGCAAAGACAAAGTTCAAACTCTTTTGAAAGACTCTTTGTCAAGAATAGTGTACATATAATCATAGTTATTCTCCACTGGCATGCCCTTTCCTTTTCACAAGAAAGTATTGTAGGAGTATGGGCTTTGTGCAAGTTGGCAAATACTTCCCTTTAAAGTACAGGCACTCTTGCTAGTTAATGGGGTAATGTGATTCACATGAACGGTTTGATAATGATATAGTGTTGCTATCCTTACCTGATAGAATGTGGGTTTGACTCCACTGCCTCTGTGGGAATTTATATTTAGCAGAAGTCTGTTGAGTTGAACACGTGTAGCGTTTGTTTTAAGAGAGAAAGAGAGTAAGCACTTACCTCCTGGGGTCTTTCAAGAAGCTCCAGAATGAGGAGAATGTAAAAAGATGGTTGTGAACATCCTTTAGGAGTTCTTTTTGGCTAAAGAGATGGTGCAGCTAATGCTCTCAGACTTCAGACATGTTTCCTGCTTGTAAATTATTAGGCTTTAGTTTGTCCCCATGTGAAACATGACTACGCTTCCTCATATATTTACCCCAAGTACAAAAATGGCCTATCCAAAAGCAGCATTTACTTAGGTGTGAAAAATAAAGGCTTTTAAAATAGGATTCTGCAGGCTGAAGACAGGGACATTTATGAGGAGGTATGGGGTTCAGAGCAGCAATGAAGGAATTAATGGCAGTAAAGAGATGGGGAGACAAAGGATGAGAACACCCGTCCATTCTCCTCTTTCCCTCCTCCCCCACAAAAAAAGCTTCTGTTCCCAAACAGGTTGAAGAAAGAGAGTAATGTCCCTGTCCAGTACCCAAAAAGAAGAGGCAGATACACACTCTGTTTTTGCATGCAAATGTGTAGACTGTGTCCCTGAGCATTATATTTTAAGACATTTTTTTTAGACAAGAAGAATTGAGGTTTTGAGTAGATTTTACTTAGCAAGCCAATATAGAAATAAATTTGATTAATATTTTATTTCAATTTAAAATTTCTGAAATTGGAGATTTGAAAAGGATACTATTAAACTAAGAAATGTTTGTTTGTTAATTTGTTAAACTAAGGGCTCTGGCAGGCATTACACTTATTGTGTAATTAACATAATAATCACTGAATAAACTACTACATGCCACACATTCAGCCATTTATCCCATGATAAATTTAACATGGAACATCCTTGTGGCTGGTTTGTATCGTGCTTTAATTTAAATGTGTAGCATGCTGGGCTGCATGGCATGGCCTTAGCATGCCACAAGTTCAAATTAAAGCATGCCCGATCCCCAATGCTTTAGGAATTAAATATAGCTGTAGTAATTTGCATATAGAACCCATAGATTTGTTTCATCCAGATCCAGAATTGATGCATATTACCTTTTTTGAAACTGTTGCAAGTTTTTGAATAGGTACTCCATTAGTACCAAAGGATATATAGGATAATTAGCCCCCCACTCATGACTGGAGGGGGGCAGGGCAAGCTGGTGTGGCTTTACCTCATGGAGCCACACTAATCATATGTGACAGTCTGAGATAGGGAAGTAACAGAGGGATTCTGGGTGAACTTTTTAGGGCTCTGTTTGCTAGACATTTAAGGCTGGTGAAGAAACAGGACTCATTGGAAATGGGAAAGAAAAGTGATGGAAGTGAAGAGAAAGTAAAATGTATTCAGTATGGTGGCTCACCACGACTTGTAAAAGAGTTGGCACTGAGGAAGACTGTGTGCACTAAGATTTTATTCAGGTGGGTTGCACTAACCTATACTTGTGGTAGCTCCCCATCAGGAGACTTATTTGGCTGGGGAGATACTATGATCATTCTTGACCTTGAATGACTCGGTGTACTTAGAGCATGGGTGGCAAAATATG